ATTATGCGATTCCAGAGTCATAATGCTTTCAACCTAATGCTATTTTCGTTACCACTTGTATGAAAACTGCAGGTCACATGATCAGACACCCACGCATGGGGAGTGCCGTCAAGAGTTGTGTGGAACAAATTCCTGCAATATCACTGGCTACCAGCATCCAGCCGATCACGAGGACAGTTCTTCGGGTGCGCGTGACTATCAAGCCGGAGTTTCGCTGGAATGACAAAGTGCATGGCTCCACGTCAGAACCGTGGTGGATCTGGGTCGAGGATCCGGACAATAACCACATTTATCACTCGGAGTACTTTTTACTGCACAAGAAACAGGTTTGCTCAAGTTTGTCATTTTTTTTTTAGTTGCAGTCGTGCTTGATAAAAAGTAAAAATATGAAATTGGACCCAGCAAGTGGCACACCTACCGGGATGGAGGCCGGAGAAGAGAGTCTCCTCTCTCCTTTTGCGACTTTTTTTTTCTTCAGTTTTTAATACACGACCAAGACAAACAAGCTTATATAAGGCTTGACTTTAGCTCCTTGCACATCGTTGATTTCGCACGAGGACTGAATTTGGAATTCTTTTTAAATTCTAAAAAGGTTGAGGGAAACTTTGGAAGAACTGCATCTCTTAAGGGGGGAAACTTTGATACACTGAGAGATTCGTAGTTCTGTCCGTTGCAAATTTCGGTTGTCGGGAAAAATAAAAATTTCCAAATATTCAATATTCAGAAAATACTTTTACGTGGCACATGTTTTCTACCAGGTGTTAGCTGACGAAGAACAAACCTTGGTGTTCACCATTCCGATCTTCGAGCCGCTACCTTCTCAGTATTTAGTGCGAGGAGTGTCAGATCGCTGGCTTGGCTCTGAAGTGGTTTGTGCTCTGTCTTTCAAACATCTCATTTTACCAGAAAAGCACCCGCCTCACACTGAACTACTGGATTTACAACCTCTGCCGCTGACCGCCCTGAAATGCAAAGAATATGAAGCGCTGTATCGGTAAGTAAGATTCAAGTGTACTATAATTCGCTCTCGCAAGGATAAGAGGAGTTTAATTGGACTGTATTTCCAATAGCAGTGCACTCGATCTTGTTGATTGACCAATTCAGGGCTGTCGCATTACGCGTCTGTTTACAGTCTTTCAGTCCTATCCACAATACGTAAGTCGCATTCAGTACTTACTGAGGGTTTAGCTCATGCGCCTCGAACGGAAAGCTGCGCTTTCCAACTTTGCCCCAGACAGTAAGGTTTGTTTGACGACGTTTGTCACGGATAGGCCCGCTAGCATCCCATTCCGTTTAAGTAACTCTGTTCCTTTTCGTTCCTTGCTCTTGAAACTGATATTACCCCCGGCAGCTATCCGAGTTGGTCTCGTATCCAGGCCTCTATTATTGGGTTTTCTTTCATTTCGTTTAGGTTCACTCACTTCAATCCAGTCCAGACACAAGTATTTCATACAGTATACCACACGGATCATAATGTATTACTTGGAGCACCCACAGGGTCCGGGAAGACACTGGTTGCTGAGCTTGCCATATTTCGTATCTTTAATGTGCATCCCGGAACTAAAGTATGTGTCAAATTCATTGTTTCTCACGCATAATCCCGAGGAGAATTCCACAGATCTGCTAACTGTACCCAAATGTACTTCAGAGTCTCTTCAATACGTCACCTAACGTGTACCTAACGCACTCCTCAGCATTCCTTGTGAGACAGAGGCAACAACCGTTTTTTTTTTTTTTTAACCATTTGGCTCCGTCCGGTGTTTAGTCTTGCCCCCGTGAAGACTATCCCAAAATTGTTTCTTAACAAGATACGTTGTTAGTTCTTGAGAGAAAAATGTGAAAAGATACATTTATAGAACGCTTGTGAGACTTAACAGCTCTCTCCTCAGATACTCTTGAGCAGCTCAAGTTCTGCACCATAATCCACGGGAAAACTCGTATTACTTGTAGTTTCTCTGCTTATTTCCTCTGTCTGTTGCACCAACCATGCAGCTCATTGCGAGGGAATCAATTCATTTATTGGAGTGTAAACTAAGTGTGTATGCTTTCATCGATAACAGACGTCCTATATTTTCACCAACGTATATGTTTGTGAAATTTGTTTGTCGTAGGCTGTTTACATTGCTCCCTTGAAAGCCCTGGTCCGTGAAAGAATGGAAGATTGGAAAATACGTTTTCAGGAGAAACTTGGTAGAAGGTATAACTTGTTATGGGCGTTGCACATAAGATTTTTTAGGTGTCAGATTGAGTTGTCATCAATTGAAGCAATTAATTTTCATTTGAGTGTCAAAGGTAATCCGGGATCGCCTCGTTTTTGTTTTACTACGCTTTCCGATTTGTCTAAAAACTCGCACCACTTTACTTTTTTCTCTCTTTTTCGGATCGCCATTTGGTAAACTCAAAGCTTGGTAGCCACGCAGACAAGATGTTGCAATCCTCAACCGGCAGGCCATTTTCTTAGCTACAACGATGGGTTACCCACGTTTTTCGGCATTCCAAACAGTTTGCTTGATTTTACTTTGGATTCTCATTGGCTACCGTTTTATTTTCTTTTCATCTGATTGGCTGTTGTTACTACTTTGGTTTTGGTTTTACCGAATCGATCTGCGCTCTTTTTGAGAAATAAGGATAGTGAAACTGAAGACCGATTGCAAATGACAACCTTGAGAATTTGAAGCCATATTTTTTGACAAGCATATCTCTTGACGTAATCTCTTTGATATCCACAGTGTTGTGGAGTTAACTGGAGACGTTACTCCAGACATGCGCGCTATAGCCAAGGCTGACGTCATTGTCACCACCCCAGAAAAGTGGGACGGTATCAGCCGAAGCTGGCAGACTCGTAACTACGTGCAGTCGGTGTCTTTGTTAGTGATTGATGAGATCCATCTGTTGGGTGAAGAGAGAGGTCCTGTCTTGGAGGTTATTGTATCGCGGACGAATTTTATCTCCTCGCACACAGAGAAGACTGTTCGTGTGATTGGTTTATCGACTGCTTTAGCCAATGCTTCGGATCTTGCGGACTGGTTGGGAATAGAACAGGTAAAACAAAGTTGCCCCCTGCCTTCTATGCGAAGCTTTATTTAGCCTTTTCAATTTACCAAGTTATGGCTTTATCTGCTGATATTTGGACATCATCTCTCCGAGTTTTACGTTTAACTTTTGTATAAGGTTTACATCCGTTTTCTTTATCAATTCTTTGATTAATGTTTTTCTCATGTTTCGTTTACTACCATTAATGGGTTAATCCACGTTTAAACTATGCTCTAAGAGAGTAATATGTATTGTTCAGCTAAAAGGTTTTTGCAAAAATGATGTTGAAAACTCTTCACACTTACCTTGTAGATGCTTATACTAAAAACCGCCAAAAGCACGCCTTGAAAAAAGTACTTTACCCAATTTATTGATCACCCAACAAAACAGACAGGAAAACGCTGTCTTGGTACCTTTATTCAAGTTCACATTTCCCAGCCCCAAGTTGTTCGCAAATGGCAGTTCCGCTGTATCAGAAACTAAGAGAAAGAACTTTAACTTACTTTTGTGGCCTTCTACTTTTCCAGGCCGGTATGTTCAACTTCCGGCCTTCAGTGCGCCCTGTTCCCCTGGAGGTGCACATATCTGGGTATCCCGGAAAGCATTACTGTCCGCGCATGGCAACTATGAACAAGCCCACCTTTAACGCTATTAAAACACACTCGCCCACCAAACCCGTGCTGGTGTTTGTTTCTTCAAGACGACAGACCCGCCTCACGGCTTTAGAGCTGATTTCTTTCTTAGCAGCCGAAGACAATCCCAAACAGTGGATGCAAATGCCGGAAGCTGAGGTAAGCGCTAAAATACAATTGAACTCAACAACAAATAGTTTATTGCGTGAATCAAGTTTACATGTGGCAGTCTGCTTGAGTTAAGGTGGGATCCATTTGATTGGTGGTACTCCTGTTATTAGCGGCGAAAAAAATATTGTCTTATTTACGAGACTGAGGTAACTCTCACGCACGCGAGCGAGCTGGTCAGACTGCTTTGAATTCTGATGAAGTAAACATATGTACATGATTCGTCGCTTTCCTATAGTTGCGTTTATCAATCATGGCTCCATGCTTCTGAAAAAACAGATTAACAGGAGAGCTGAGCGAATTCGGACTACCGAGGGGAACACCTCACCGACAGTTGTAAACCAACCATCAGAAACGGAACATAAAGCTTCATATGATGACTCTCCACGACCAGTCCACCCATCGTCTCAAAGTGGCTAATTGTAGCAGTAGATATGCGATCGATCAAACTTAGATGCGACTATATCGTGTGATGAAAGCATTCTACTATTGTGGTACTTCGCCACAACGAAACATCACAACCTTTTCTAAGATATATCTTCTACTTTAGATGGACTCTTTGATCCAAACAGTGAAGGACAATAACCTCAAACTGACGTTGTCGTTTGGTATTGCGCTGCATCACGCGGGTTTACACGAGAGGGACAGGAAGATAGCGGAAGAGCTGTTTGTGAATCAAAAGATTCAGGTGAGTAAAAGGATAGACCACGGTGAACAGCTGTTTACATGTTGCTCACTAGGTTGAACGCTACTGCTGTTTAGGAGTTTTAGGGTACAAGGTTCAAACCTCTTTATCACTCGGGATCTTAAAAAGTGAGGAGAATGTGTTCCCTTTACGATTTTATTTGCAAATGTTTAGAAACTTATCGAGGAAAACAAATGGAAGATAAAAACTTGTTAAAATTTTCTTCCGCGACAGTTGTGCTTCAGTCATCGCCACGAGCCTCCTTATTCAAAATTGGAGTGCCGATTTTTTAAACAAGGAAAACTTTTTAGTACAAACGTGACTTGTTTCGATCAGCCTTTTAATTGCTTTTCTTTTTGACACTGGCGCTCAGGTGAAAAAAAAAATTCTTTTTCTCGTTCAGATTTTAATTGCGACAAGCACGTTAGCCTGGGGCGTAAACTTCCCGGCTCATTTAGTGGTTGTAAAAGGTACGGAGTACTATGATGGGAAGACCCGGAGGTATGTGGATTTTCCCATCACAGACGTGCTTCAAATGATGGGGCGCGCAGGGAGACCGCAATACGACGAGAATGGAGTGGCTGTGATCCTTGTCCACGACATCAAGAAACACTTTTACAAAAAGTTCCTGTACGAGCCTTTTCCAGTCGAGTCAAGGTATGTACGCAATGGAACAGAACAAACCTTGACCTCGCACTGACTTGAGAAAACCCATAACCTCTAAATAGAAGTTTCAAGGTTTGGGCCGATTTGAAAATTGGCATTTAAAGGTCAACAGGCAACATATTTTTTGTTGTGTATTTACGAAAGTGATTGTTTTGTTTTTAAGGAATAAAACGCCCGTTCACCGCGAGTATTTTTTCTTACTACTGAAGTATGGTGATAATAGTGAGGTACAGGGGCACAGCTCAGATTTTGTAGGGGGGGGAGGAGGGGTGGTGACTGCATCACACCCGGATTACCAACTCTGCTGTCATGTCGACATTCTCGCTGCGTTTTACTTAAGGTGACATTTTGTCATGTCATGTAGAGTTATCGTTTTCGCGCGCGCCTACTTCGCCACCTGAAGTAAAGATAGTCAGTTTACAAGGGAGGAGAGGGAGGGGCCTTGATGGGCACCCCATGACTTCCCCCCAGCTACGCCGTGATGGATTGGGTGCATTTTAAGCTTTCGTATTTAACGTAGCATCCTAATGTTGTGTCCTAGTGCGTATGGTTGTGTTTAGTAGCTTCTAAGTTTTCTTTTTCTCTTAGTTTGCTAGAAGTACTTCCAGATCACTTGAATGCTGAAATTGTGGCGGGCACAATCACTTCTAAACAAGACGCCATGGATTACCTTACTTGGACGTACTTCTTTCGACGACTGCTGATGAATCCAAGTTACTATGATCTGGAAAACATTGACAATGACTCTGTGAATAAGTTTCTCTCTGCTTTGGTTGAGGGTGCTGTGAGAGAAGTTGAGAATTCTGCGTGCGTGGAGATTGGCGAGGTAAGCTTGTAGTTCTGCTGTGTGAGCGATGAACAGGTCAAATTAAAACTGTCCCAACTGAGAAATCCGGTTTTGTATTCAACGGTTTCGCTTTACTTCGCTCTGTGATGTGCTTGTGAAATTCTAACCACTTTTTCAGCCAATTAAACGCAAAACATGATTTATCAGCGACTTAGTTACCCTTACTTTCCTATGTATTCCTATGTTTCTGATTGACTTGGGTTTCGTTTTCAGTACTCTTAATCGCTCCAATAGAACAGTAGGATCTTTTTGTCATGGTTTTCAGATAAAATAGACATTGGACTGATGCTAGGCTGACAAAGTTGGACCGTAGGTGCTTTGAACAGAACGAACTGATGTGTTGTGCACTTTCACATTGTTTATCCTTAAATCTCCCTTTCGCTTCATAAGTATGTTGATTTAATGACACATTTTTTTTGGCTGCAGGACGGTCTGGCGATAACCCCAACGAACCTTGGCAGAATTTCTTCTTACTACTATCTAAACCACTTAACACTGCGCATGTTCCATGAACGGTTAGACGCTGACTGCAGTCTCCCGGACCTCATCGAGATTTTAGCGGTAAGAATTTTATAAGCTTCAAATCGTCAACTTATCGAAGCGCTTGTTTTTAAAATGTACCGATAGCCAACAGAAGTGACTAATTAACTAGCATGATGTACGTAGAATTCATTTTGGTAACGTTACCAGATTCTTTATGGACCGATAATTTATTAAATTTGATTTTTGATTTTAAAAAAATTTCACGTTATATCTTTGCAAGCAAAGAGAAAATCGTCGTGAAAGAACAGGTATTCCCCGAGAGGTCCTAATGTTTTCTTTCTCCCTTGAGATAAAAATATTTGAGTAATCGTTAATATACTACATTTTTCCTGGAAATTTATTTTGCGCGGAAACAGATAAACTAGAGCAGTTAAAACTCGGTTGCAATTTAATGGATATCCACCAAATTTTCGCAGGATGCCGAAGAATACACTCAGCTTCCGGTTCGTCACAATGAAGACATCATCAACAGGTGAATATGAGGAAATGAATAAAGAAGTAAATTTATTACTTTACTGAGTCATTACTCGACTCTTGACCTCCCAGTGGATTAATGTTGTAATAAACCTGATTGTGTACGTATGATGCACGATCCTCGCATTAGAGAGCGCTATTTATTACGAGTCAAATCAACGGCCTGCACCCAGTTGGCTTGTTAGCTCAATTGGTAGAGCGCTGCACTAGTATCGCAGAGGTCAGTGGTTCGAATCCCGTACAGGCCTGATTTTTTTCAGGTCTGATTTTCGCTATTGCATAAGTAGCGCTCTCTACTGCGAGGATCGTGCATCATACGTATCTAATACCGCAGTTCAAAATATATGAACTTCATATATACCTTGTAACCAAACCTGATTGTGTTGTCTGCGGATGAAAATCGTTTGCGAGACCACTGATCAAAAAAAGGTAGAATGCTTGCTGTGCTGTCATTCAATGGGTTGATATTCATTACAGTGTAAGAGTTATTTTAAACTTTGGACTGTGTATGTTCCCTTGATCCCAAGAGATAGATATCTGAAGTAAAACTACTTCAGGAACTGCTACTTATGTTTTTTTTTGCGCTATGCAACTGATATCAGTTTTATTTACATATGAGGGCAGAGGAGTTGGGCATCGGAGATTTTAGCCAAATGTGTGGCTCCGTTTGTTTTTCTTTTATGTTAACAATATTACATCTAAATAACCGATGTACATCTTAAATTCCAGCGACCTCGCCCCCAGTCTTCCCTTAGAAGTGGACCCTCACACTTTCGACAGTCCTCACACCAAGGCACATCTGCTCTTTCAAGCGCATTTCACTCGCCTACCACTGCCCAGTACTGACTACTTGACAGACACAAATTCAGTCCTCGATCAGGCTATACGAATCTTGCAAGTAAGTTTAACAAAGTGTGAAACGACTGGGTAGTGTCAAAAGACCACACTGAATGGCTATAAGGGATAATCGAAGTTCGTCGTTCTGAGGTTTTGCGGAAGATTGTGTCGAGTTAACTGTCGCAAAGCATGGGGCTGTTTTGCCCTAACACTTTATTGGATTATTTTCTTCCAGGCAATGATCGACGTATCTTCCGCCGAGGGTTGGTTGGCAACAGCTCTACGATGCATGCACCTGGTACAGATGGTGGTTCAAGGACGATGGCTTCATGATTGCACTCTTCTCACTTTACCGTGTGTTGACACTGCTCTCTTGTCACTTTTCCGAATTAACGGCCGTTCATTAGAATGCCTCCCTGAGCTGTTAGACGCCGTGAGAGGCGACAGGAAAGTCCTGAATACAATGTTAGGAGATGCTCTGAGTCCGGGTGAAATAACAGAGGTGAGACAATAAATATCGGTGTCCCTGCGTGCAGTGTTTTTAGGTTTTATTTGAGGGGAAGCTCGTCTTGATTCTTCGACGTCGTTGGGATTTTTCAGAGCGGGAATGTTGCATTACTGTGGCATTAGGGAAAGCTGTATCGCAGAAGGATGTCGCTAGACTGTCAAGGGTCTACAGGAGTATTTCACCCTTCTGTTAAAGTGCTTAGTCAGTCACCAAACGAATAAAGCTACAGTACTTCAAAATAATCGAAGTCTTCCCAGCGATCTCTTTAGCATTAGTAGCTAAGAGCACTAGTTCCCCTCCTGGATGATTTGTTTGTCTATCTTTTGTAGCCAGTGGGCATTTCTGACGGTAAGGAAAATTTCCATGATGACAACGGCGAGGGCAGATATCCATGTACAATCACTTTCGTACGCATGAAACTATCGTTAGTCTTTACTCTTTGCCACGGTCAGCAAAAGGACATCGTTGCATTCCCTTTAATATTTATCCTTTTATAGATTTTTGACACGTTGGGTCGGCTGCCCCAAATCAGTGTAAAGATTAAAGTGCGTGGAGTCTGGGCTGAGAACGAGCGGGGTGCAAAGGAGAGTAAGCCCATCAGTACCACACCGACCGAAGGGTTAGCGAGAGACTGGGTACCATTACATGCAGAGCAGGAATACGTGTTGATACTTGATATCACCAAGGAGTTGTGCGGTTTTAGGGTAAGGAGTTCAGACACACTGTTTAATTTTTAAGCGATTCTTTTGCATTAGTTATTTCTGAAAGAAATTTGAGTGGCATTTGACGATAAAAACTTGCGACAAAACGTTGCTTGATAACATTGTATAATTTAAAAACGATAAAAAGCTATAGAAAGCTAAGATCGACGACGTCTCGACGTTAACATGACGTCATTATCAAGTCAAGAATGTGTAAAAATAAGTTCTATAAATACTAAAATTTGGTAGATTTTTTGTTGCTACTGCCTGCTATAGGAGGTGAAACCACATATGTTATCGAAATGAGTAAATGAATAAATATTCGAAATTTTCAAGGAACCTTGATACTATAAATTGTTACTTTTTTTGGTATTCAGCGGTCCAATACAAAGGCGCACGCTCCACATTTCCCTAAAGGCAAAGACGTTGGTTGGTGGGTGGTGCTCGGCGAGATGGACACGGGCGAGTTGTTGGCCGTGATAAGAGTGAGTCAGGTGCGCTCTTCAAGCACGGTGTCCTTATCGTTTTACACGCCTGAGGACCTGGGTAGGAGAATCTATACTGTGTTTCTCATCAGTGATGCTTACCTTGGAATTGACCAGCAGTATGATGTTTCTCTTGAGATTATTCAATCAGATGTTTCAAGTCACGTGATCACTGAAGTTAACTTCAGTGACTAGTTAATCGTATGATTATGTTGTCACGCGCAATGTTCGAGGAAACTGCGTGACATTTACTAAGTCTGGTGAACTTGTTAAGAAACTGAGAAAGATCACGCACCGGAATCGGAGTAAAGATACTTCTCCTCGGTAATGACAAAAGTTAAAGTGAAAGTTTCAAGTCATTGCAATGCAAATTAATTTTCAGGAGAGTAAAGACTGTCTAAGATTGCGGTTTTTCCACACACACTGACTTGTGATAAATCTAACATGTAATGTCCAGTAAGATATCCGAGAGGTCTACATTTGTGGCGAACTAGCAAGCTAAACTTTAATTTTTATTTTATTTTTTCTTCGTTTTTAGCTTATTCTTTAATTGAGCGAACTTATTTTGGGTTCCCGAGCACCTTCTTGTCAGTAAGCGCTACGTTTTCTCGTGGTACATATTTCTTCTGTGTGAAACCTCGAATATCTTTCTTCTTCTTCTTCTCGCAAAAAGAAGACCGTGGTCTTTAATTTGTGAAAGCACTTGGCTTTCTGTCTACCATTGTCCTTGTGTAAAACTTTGAGCATCTTTCTCTTATAGAGGACTCCCCACATCTTAACCAAAGCCTGAGCCTACGTGCTGCATTGTGTTAGAAAAAATCGATTAAAATTGCGCTAATCTATTCGGTGTTGTTTCCGTCAGCCTACCGATACTGCGAAATTCCAGACTAAAATTTAAATTATCTCAATATTTTACTTACATTGCTATCAACCAATATCATTAAAACGTGGTATTGATAGGTAAGTCATGTAATGATCAATCAAATTTATAGAGGATATACAAAAACTTACGAAAGATTTTATAACACCTTTGCAAGAAAAATCAATAAAGACTTTGTTTTTGTTACAAGAGAGTTACTGCATTGTTTTATTGTTTCCAGGGACCAGTTAGAAGGGAACTTAAGCAGTCACGACGGCAACGCCACGGAAGATGTCGATTGAAAAATAAGTTTCTACTTTTAGTTAGAATTTCGAAAATGGCTGCATGTGTTTACCGTCTCATAGGGCGCCAGACCTCAAACTCAATATAACGCATAAAAGTAGCGTTGAGTTCCGAATGTAAATTAAAATAATTTGCCGCCGCGGTTTCGGTTCGCAGAGGACGCTAATTTTGGTGATTTCACGTTGTTGTTTTGCAAAGGACGGCTAAGAAATGTACAAAGTTTTAAAACGCACCTGCTGAGCTATTGTTCTGCCAATTAGATCTATTGTTTTTCCACATTCTCGTTGCCGTCGCCGTGGTGGTCCCCTGAAAGTCCCTATTATGTATCGCCTGGGGAGGGGGAGGAGCCAGAGGATTTTGTGTCGTGTCACAATGAGATTTACCTGGACCCTC